AGAGTGAGCGGGTGTGGGATCCTTTGATCCTGAGGCCCAGTGAACATATTAGATCGTTTCCGGGACGATGAACACGTTCATCCGAGAGTAGAAATTTGTGCGTTAGTTCTGGTTATTTTCGTTTTCGCGGATGCTTACGCGATCGTAAGAGATTCATATATTCCATGTCGCGTTCTGGGAGCGTCTACAGGACGTGGAGGATGCAAGGCGTCTGACGTCGGAGGCGGCGGCAAGAGATCGGTCCCCACTGCGCCGTCATTTCATGAATGAGAGCGTCCCGATGTCCCCGCCGCGGGCGCCGATACGCGCCGCGGCTTCCGTCGTAATCTCTGAAAGCTTAGGGGGAACCAACCTACTGTCGTTGCCACCGCCACCCCCCACCGTCACTCCTAGAGTTACGTTCCTCCCGCGCCACCCCCGGACCCACAACCCTCTTTAGCCTGTTACAAGAGTCGCTCGTCAGTCACGTCGAGGAGGCGACGCAAAAGGGGTTCTCTTCCGTAATGCCACCAAGCGAACCCCCCGAATCGCATCCCCCCAACAACTAAAAGGACCACCCTTCTGGTTTCCCCATCGATCGACAACTCGCTTTTTAACGATCACTACCGATTCATACCCACCCGTCTGCAACGAGGGGAATTACAACACCCCCCCCGTCCCTCTTATATTTTCCTCCATTAAATATTATGCGTCATCTCGCCGTATTATGTACACCTTTTTATACCTTTTTATAATGCAATAAAATTTACACATTCAAATTTGGAAGCGCGTAGAAAAATGGTTCGGTAATTCTGCTCTTCTTTACAGATCGAAAATCGAAATAATAGTTAATTTGACACTGAGATATTAACAAATGCTTGACAGTAATAAGACTAGTTGTTTAGACTTTAAAAAACGTAACAATTAATAACATAAATGTATTATTTGTAAATTACATACACCTAAATGCAATTAATTACTACATTACATAATATATGGGAACATTGCTTTATCTGTGTGCGAGTGCGTTAAGAGCAATGGTAGTGTAGGGGTGAAGAGCGGTTAACGGATTAGCCGCTCGTCAGAGGCGGCTGAGGCGATAATCTGCAGGTGAGGCGGGAATGGAAAACAAGGTGCACGGGTGATTAGGCAAGGCTAGGCGCGCTCGAGGAGCCGATAACGAGGCCAACGCACCGCACGTCGCCTCCGCCACCGCCGCTGCCGCCACCGCCACCATCAGGTTAGACTATATATGAACATCGATCTGTCACCCACAGCGTATATTACTATTAACGCACACAGGGGAAACCCGGCCTGTTTCTATTAACTCCGTAACTCTAGGGGATTGTGGTGGTCCCGAGCGGTGTGGGGAATTGGGCGGAGGACTGTTCGAAGTTGGGTGTAAGGGCGCAAAGACCACCGCAGCCGCTCCTCAGCACCCCCGCGAAATATCGGGGGGTTCGCAATAAACACGCCATCAATTATTTTCGTAGCCGCCCCCATCGCGCGCGCTCTCACAAAAACATCGCGCTTTGCTTCGATCAAGACACCCCCTGAACTCTTTCATTACCGAGGGCGCCAAATTAATAATTCCGTTAAATTGGTACACGACAAACCATCCATTATGTTGTGGAACTATTCATTAAACTCGGCAGCCCCACTGTTGTAATTAACCCATCGACTTTTCAGATTCAATGTTATTTTAGTTCCCTTCAAATCGCGTTAATACATTGAATACTACTGGTTTAACTGATTTACTCATTATAAAGATGAGTATTTTTGAAGAAGAAAAAACATTGTTTTTATTTGATTATTTGAATTTATATTAACCAAAACATTTTCGATGTTCAATTACAAAATATTGTCAGTATGCTTTACTTTCTATATATTATAAGTAATACTAATCATGCTGTACTTGAAATCTATTCTATGCAAAGATGAAAAATGAATATTATCAGTATATATGTTTGTGTGTGATGTGAATCGGATGGAATTGGAAGAATATATATTTGTTTTCCTCTGGTTAAACTGGCGGATCACGTACGTATCCGATCGTTCTGTGGTCGTTTAACAAAACGCCGCGGCAATAAATATGGAATATTAGAAACAAAAAAAAAACTAGCTGTAGGGGTGAAAGAGAGGGATTTCGGAGTTGGTATCGGAAAATCATGCATGCCCGACGGGCCGCGCCTGGCCCGGGGCGGTTTTGTTATATATCTCTTGGCCTGCCTGATCTGGCTAACAGGACACGTAGACTGGAGGGCGCATTGTTGATGGAATGCCCGTGCGTGTTCAAGCGTCGCTTCCGCCAACCCCACACTTCTCCGCCACTTCCACAAACTCTCGGATCTGCCGCGTCGCAATCGCCCTCGTTACATACCTTTGACAGATCAAAGTCCATAAACGAAATCCAGCGAGATGGGCGAATATATCCAGAAGCTGTACAAGATAGATACAATTTTAAAATTATCGTTAATTTGAGGAAGATTAGTGGGTCGAAAAAGTTATACCTACTAGGAAGAGGAATGGAAATGTTGACTTTTGATGGTTTAGAAGCGTTAATATATATTTCATTCCTGCGTCCAGGTATGGCAGATGCGTCGCTGGCCGTAAAGATACAAGCGCACACGTGCGGCGCTTGTGTAATTGGGGCGAACGAACGCGCGCGATCCGGCCACTTGATTTCGCGCGCGTCCCCCATCGGCGCCCCCTTTCATCTTTCCCCCCTCCTACACCGCCTACTCTTCCACTGCCGCCTCGTCCGCCCCTTCGTCCCGTCACATGCATTATTTATCGTCGGGTTTCCAGCTCCGTGTTCCTTCCTTAATTATCGCATGCACGCGGGTTTTACAATGAATGGATGCAAAGTGAAAAGAAAAGAATTATTGTGGAAGGTGGCCTTCGCCCAACCTAAGTTTACCAAAGCGAATAATGACGCGATGCTACTTCCTAAAGGCATTTACCGGCGTCAAATCAAATATACACGTCACAGCTTGAACCTTTTTATTTTTTATTTATTGATTATTTAATTATTAAAAACATTATTTACATGCATATTACGTTTGAATTATATTTTTTATGATTATACACGAGTATAGTTTTTCGTTTACAGAAATTGCATCTAAATAGTATAAGTAAAAATAAACTAATACAATTGGTGTATATTCTTGTTATAACTTATATAAAACAAGTGCCTCGATTTCATTAAATAGATGCCTTAGCTTCCTTTCCGAACCTGTTGCATAAAACGGGCTTTAATGATATTACTTCAAAGTTCGTTTCCTTGTCGCATCATAATTGAACTAACCATAGTTCTATATTATACTTTGTTTCTAACTAATGTTTGATTATTTGATACAAATTCTTCAACTCTAAAATAATTTCACTTCATTTATTTAATGAACATTTTCAAAACAAATTCTACATTCTCTATGGAATAAAAATAAACTAAAACGCAAATTTATATTGATTAATAATGCACTTATAAATTGTGTAACATTGCTTCTATAAACAGATGGTATGTCAATCTTACTACTTAAAGGTATGGATTGAATAAGAAAACTTGGTTTATAAATTTCCGAATATATTTAGAGACGTGCAGCTGATGGTGACTCGATTAAGTGAGGATGCATAGAAAGAAGAAGAGAAAAAGATAGAGTGAGATAGAGTAAAATTTCAAAGCCTTCCGGACGTAGGAGAGCGATGAAAATGCTTAAGGCAACCTGAGAGGAGTCCGCTAGATCTCAGCTTCCTATCGCCACCACTTCTTCATCATGCCTCAACCTTTTTTTGTGTCGTGTCGGCGATGTAACTTAAAAAATGCATGAGCATGTGTGGCGAGGAGGAAGGCGAACGCCTAGTAGTAGAACAGGTCGACCGACGACGCAATATCCGCTCGACGCGTCGGCCGTGTCATTAGGGTGGATTGGAGGAGCCGCCGTCGTCACGATCGCTGCTGCCGCCGCCGCCACTGCCTTCACCCGTCGCCCCGCCGCCCGATTAGATTATCAACGGCACCGGCGAGGCTCCTCGTCCCGCGCCCCGTCCTTCTTCCGCCCGACCCCCCATTCCTCCCACCGTCGCCTGCCTATCCTATCCCGCGTTCCTCGCTTCGGGGCCCCGTCGTCTCCCATCCTCTCCGCCGCACACTCTTCGCTTAACCGCCTGATCCCCCCTTTTTGCCGAACCCCACATATTCCTGACGGCAGAACTTGTTGGCACGCAGCACGTTATTAGGAACGCGAAGCGAGCACGTATGATTGCGATATGACAGAATAAGGCACTCGACATGCTCGCCCAGTAACGAATTTTACCGTCTCCACATCTTTCTATACTCATGAAATCCATCCTCATCCCCTTATAGTGTCATCCCCAGCTCACCAAACAATCCTTTCCTTGCCACCGTGAATTGCACAATCCTTCTACAAAAGAAATATATTTTAAATATTTAAATATAAACTTACAGTTTGTCAACTACAGTCAACATAAATTAATTTCTAGAAATATTCATTCATTGACGGCGAACGAAAAAATAATTATCTGAGTTTTATAAATTGAAGGCAGTAAATGGTGCTGCTGCTGTAAATCAATGCGTGGTAGTCTAAGTTTCTGATGATAAAGACAAAACACTACGTAGAGACGAGACGAGACGAATAAATAACATCCCTGGATCTCCGATGCGTCGAGCGCTAAACAAACTAGGGGAGAGCCTGAAAAACAAAATAGATTAAGTTGACGTAATCGGACACCTTCAAGCCCCATTTGGAATCATGTTACCATTTTCACTTCTTGCCATCTTTTTTTTTTGTTACTTATTTACACTTCTTTTGTTTCAGGTAAGGTTTCCAAAAGGCCAAATTTTGGGTAAATATTTAAATATTAGTTTTATTTATATGATTTGTAAATGGGGAATAGTTAGTTGTTAAGATTGGGTGGTAAAAAAAGTAAGCAAATTATTGCATACAGTTGTTTCGGGTAAATATATATTTTTATTTAAAGAAATTCAAATGTATGTACAATATGTATATATAAATCTCTTAAGGACTAAGTCTTAGTAAAAAAATGTTTAGTAATAATCAGATGTTGGAGGTCGTCAGATCAGTAGGAGCAATTGGTGGCAGCGCCGTGAGCGTAAATCTCGTCGTAGACAAGTTGTTCGATCTTCATCCGGAGCGGTAGTTTTCGGTTGAGCGCTACTTGCTTAAGGTGAGGTTGCAGGCTAACCAAGAACTGGTAGTCGTCATCGTCATAGAGATGACGAGCAACAGCAGCAGCTGCTGCCTTTTCATGTTCAGCCTGACTTTTCTCCGATTCTATTTCCAAGAACTGTGTGACCAGATCATCAGCAGCGTGCCTCTTCAAACTTTTCTCCTGTTTAATCCCATCTGATATGTGGTCGATGGAATCTTCGTTATCACGTACTAACGTCAGCGAGTAGTCCGGTTCAATACTGGGCACCTTCCTAGTGATGTCCATCACTTTCGGTCTGGCGTTGATGGTGATTTCTCTCATGAACTCCATGGCATTGTAGTATGGCCATTTGGGATCTGATTCCCTACCATCGGACTTTCTGATAATCTTCCTGTAGGAATCTCGAAGGTTCTTCCAGCGCGACTTCAGGATCTCCTCTAAAACAAAAAGAAAAGTTTGACATGAGTTCGGAGCCTTGCGTCCGTGTAGTGTGATGAGTTACTTGAACAACCCATGACGTGTGCCACTTCGTCCCAAAGCTCTTCTCGCATGCTGGTATCAGTCTTCTCGCTGTGCACTTTATCCCACAAGGGCAGACGCAGATGAATCTGCTCGATCAGGTCAAAGTTGTTCATGGTCAAAGAAGGAGAGAGTTGCGGAGCGGCGACGTGAATCGAACGCGGTGCGAGAGCGACTGCCGCCGTTTCGCAGTGCCCAGGGAGACGCAGCAACGTCGCACCGCTCCGCCGCTCCCCGCGACGTCGCCGCTGCCGCCGCCGCCTCTTCCCCCCTAATGCCTGCCTCGCCGTATCTCTCGCTCCCCCTTTTCGTCTCTCTTTCCAGTCAGCCGCCACCGCCGCCGGCGCCATATCAACCGCCGCCACGGGCCTACCGTCGCCGTCCCTCTTCATCCCCCCCGACAGACACGCGCTCCCCTCGACAACGTCGATAAGGACATTTTACCAGAAGCGGCAACGCCGCGTGTACTTTGAAAATACCTACTAAACAAACAAAATTAAGAAAATGCATTAAATTATTTTTATACAACGAAAATTTAAACAACCCCTTTACACTAAATTGTAACCACTACCTACCTACTACCACTATTATTACTTATACTAAGTGTCCGATAGTAAAACTTTATTAGGAGAGAACATTAGGGGATAGGACACAAAAGTTCCCGAATCCCCAAATGTGTATAAATCGCACTTCGGTAGAAACGAGCGCAAAAGGCGCATAGAGATAAAAGTGAAGAGGGCGCGCTCATCGCTAGAACTGATTTATTAACTACTTGTTGCGAGATGTTAATCACCGATCTGCGAAGCGCGCGCGCTCTCGCCCTTCAGGGAATCCCCGCGCTCGTTACTTACATGCTTTTAGCCCTTTTCCCCCTTTGCTTTCACGCCATGGGCATTACGTTTTTGCCGACGCCATGGAGACATTAAACTCGTATTTGTGTGTGTGTACACACGTGAGTGCGGCCTCTCTCTTTAATTAAAGCGCTCCAAACCAAGATTATTTTTAGGAGACAACGCAAATAACTTTACGATACTCCAACCCGAAACTATATTGACATCAATGATATTAAATATATTACTTTCATGCAACGCCTCTTCATTATTGATGAATTAAACTTTAAATAAATATTCGTCTTAAATCTGCAAAACACTATGTAGCAAAATAAATTTAAAAAAAAAGTCCGTCTCACTCGTTTCGGTTTTCGGTTTTCTGTGTGAATTATGTAACACGATCACGTCGACGGCGCGGCTATGCGTGGACATTTCGTCTTTCTCATCGTTGCACCTCTGAGTTTCTTTTTCATTCCTTCTTATTGTGTGCTGCTCTTTGTTGTTGTTGTTATTCTTTTTGGTTCGTCCATTTCTGCAATATGCCGCTTTATTTGCGTGCCGAGCGGCGCGGCGCGTTAATTTATGTGCGCCAGCGTCCGCGCTTCCTGCCGATGCGAATTTCAAAACTCTTATTTTCCCTTTATACGATTCAATTTGAGTTGCTTCACGCTCTGCAGAAAAGATGCCCGAGGACGGTGCTCCAAGTCCATCGAAAGGGCATCTCTTCAATTATGCAGATTTTGTATTAAATGCGATATCAGTAAAATATGAATTTACTACCCAGATTTAGAACACATTTAATAATAAAAACATGTTAATTAATATTTATATTATTATTATTATATAATATATTGAAGTATGTTATGAAAGCAAAAAATAAATAATTGAAGACTTCCATGTTTGTCATCTATTGAGAATTAGGGACATTGAGGTAATTTTATTTATTTCTTTTTATTAAACTGTGATGAAAATTGATGAAGATTCGGTGAGTAGAGCCTGAAATTATATGGGAGTACGAGTGGTGTTCTCCGGGGCTTGATATTGTGTCGGAATCATTTATCAAGTCGTATTATTAGGATTGACATCACGAAGCGGCTGGCGCGAGGCAAACGCATAAACGATGAACAGCCTGTACGTGACCATTAAAAATGCCGAATGTGTAATCACCCCCGAAAAGGGGGTCGAACTGCACACACGCTCCTTCTTCCCTCACTCACTCATCTACAAACGAGACTGCCCTCTTCAAGCGCACTCGGATTATGACGAGGAGTGAAACTTAATTACACATCTGCCTTGTCAACGGATCACTAATTGCCCCACGAGATTAATATCGTGAGAAGAGCGGATCGAGGAAACGGTCAATTCCTGAGGGGGCGGCAGCAGTTTGACCTCAATATTTGGTCGCCGCCGTCCGACGTGTATGTGTTATGATATGGCCTGTCGGTTGTGTGGTGGAGGAGGAGGTGGCCCGATGTACAGGCGGAATAATAAACGAGACCAGTGGATGGTGTGAGGGATCATGAGGTGGGGGGGGGGAGGCAGACAACCGGCGAGCAGAGACGGGTCGGAATGGGTCGTTATGGGACGGAACGGGATGGGACGGGTCGGTTCGGGTCGGATCAGGTCGGACAGGGACGGAACGGGACGGGTCGGCGCACATACACACACACACATCTGCCGCCGCTGCGGGAATGCTAATAGCGGAAGGACCCACACCGAGAGGCCGAAACGCGCAAACCGTCGGCCAAACATACATACACATAATCCAACTCGCACTCTCCATGTGGAAACACTCTGAATTACGACGTTCTTTGCGTTTCGCGAAAGTTTCCAAAACCTCCATCGATGTTTCTAAGCCACCACTTCACACCGGAAAATATAAACAATTCGATTTAATATTAGTTTTATCTGCTTTATATTTTAGTTTATTCATGCGATAAACTGAAAATATATTTTTTTAAGCTACGTAAAATTGATTAAAAGAATAGTTCAGTTCATTATAAATGGACTGCGCTGTAAAACAGAGGACATTTTAGAGAGGAGTTTATTTATAATTAATTTAGTGAGCTCAAAATTTACACTAGTGTTGTATCGTATTTCTTAGCCTTTTCATGAGAATTTAATATATTGAATTTACGTGAACACATTCCTTATGAAACAAAATATTCTACAAAAGAAAACAATTTAGATTCACATTATATCTCACTTTGTAGTCATACTTGAAGAAATACAAATAAAATTATGTGTATTTATGTACAAATATATTTTAGCAAGTAATTAGTTTTGTCTATATATTCCAAAAAGAAATGATTTTTGTTGTTTTCGCATTTGCAGCATATAATTCATGTCTCGAGTAGGATCAAACTCGGCGGAAGTTTTCAAATGAAGAGGAGAACACGAGCGGATAACATATCCTTTAGTTCTTATTTTATATATATTTTTTGTCCATCGGATGGACCTTTTTTTACGGCTAATTGTGCTCATACAGCGAACATTAAAATCGCATCCTGCGACGACTTCGCGGTAAACGACAGTATAATAGTTGGAAGACCGTTGCGGCGATATCGTCGGATGTATTATTAAGAATCTCGCGCACAAAAACGGCCATTAACTTTTTTCGCATCGTGCGAGATTAACAATTAATATTTCTATGCGGTTGAACGTAAGAGGAGACGACGAACTTGGCCCGTTCGCATCCCGCAGCTTTCTTTTCCTGTGCTCAATTCACCTATAAAACGGTTCTTGGATCATTTGCACATTTGCAGAATGAGAAAACGTTTATGGGAACAGGGCGCTGTGCACTTGACCAAAATGTTCGATATCATCGTTGTTTTTTTGAAAAATAAAATGTTTCGTTGTTGCGATAATGAAGTAAAAAGGGGGGTTGTAGTTACTCCATGAGCAGAACAAAGTGTGTGTGTGTGTGTATGCGAGGTTCGCGGGTGGTCCTATGGCCGAGGGGGGTTGAACTTTGCTAGTCGCGCCATGTGTGCGAGCGCTCCACGGGCGGCAGTATAGTAGAGAGCGTAGTTGTGGGGGGGGGATGAACGGCATGTGGCCGGGGGGGAGGGCGATTTCCCCCCAGAAGCGAACAACAGCAGGAGGACCCGTGTCGTGTCACCGTGCCGTGCCGCCCTGCCACGCTCACGCTTCCGTGCGTGTGCACGCCCGGGGCCTTCGTGCATAGCAGAACAAGGTATCGAATAAACCGAGCTCTGGAATACACAACGATATCCTCCGGCCCTACAAATTCGCTCGCCTCTCGCATCCGAAATAATAACAATAATGATGACGAGGCAGAGAGCATCCCATCACCTCCTAACAACAATAACAACGACAGCAGCAAAAAATAATAACACGAAAACAAAATGCAGAGGCTCTTGGAATTGTTTTACATTTCTATTACATATATATATTCATATGTAGGCATCACTCGTATAACACGGTAATTTTATAATACTTTTAGAGACTTGTAAGCAAACCTTTAGAAAAAAGTAAAGTTTGCAGTCTTGTATTTTTTTTTGTAATTTTTAAAAATTCCTTTGGAGCGTATATTGAGTCGGCATGAGTAATGGGGTGCAATGAACACAATAACCGCACGGTCAAATACGAGGGCTTTCTGGGGATTTGCAAAAGCGGAAATGTAATTGAGGCTCGCGCGATTTTTAATCGATGTTGCCGATTCGGAATGGGGAGGAAAGAAAGTCACTCTTTTTGGCGTGGAACGAGAGAGGGATGGTTGGATGAGCAGCATGATGGGGGGTCTGAGGGGCATCGTTAATGAGGGGTCGCGAGGCGGCCTCAAGAGCCGGGGCGATGAGTGATTGATGCTGCCGCTCGCACTAATGATGCCGCCAGTGCTCCTCCGTCCGGCCGCTTCATCCTAGTCCACTTTTTTTACCTCTGTGTCTCTCTCTCTCTCCCATTTCCTTCTGAACGTTGCATTGTCGCTTTATCCATCTCTGTCGCACGCATTATCCTCATTATACGGGGCCCCCATAAACGTGGTCTTATCTTTATTAGCTTCTCTCTCGCTCGGTAGCCGCACGGTGATGATGATCGCGGGGATTCCCCCTCGGTCTTCTCATTAGCTTCCGCATAGTGGCGTCCAACTCGCCCCGCGCCGCCACTTCTTCTACCGCCCCAGCCATCAGAACTACTCGGCTTGATGGCGGGGCGTGAGGAGCAGGGGCAGGAACAAGTAAGCATTGTATGTATGTGTGTATGTTTCCGCCGCCTCTCCACCGGTGTGGTCTGTACGGCCCACACTCCGCTGTCCCGTATATCCACGTGCATATATATATATATACAACCCAACCGATGTTTATGTTCCAAGTATCCAGCATCTCTTAAAGCCCACA